ATTTGAAAAGGTCACGATCCATTTTGATCCATTTAACTTACCAATCAGGAAGATGCTAACTACTTCGGAAATTTGTTTTTAAAATAAACAATTCTATTTTAATCTACAAATTTTATGATAATTCAATCGGAAGGAATTTTATACATTACCGTAATTGTGACTAGAATTACTTACACGTGAGTGTTTTATAAACTTGTAGAAATCATGAATTCCTTTTTCTATTCCATCTCTTTTACGGTAAACTACATGATCATCTCTTTACCCGAGGAAAAAATAATAGTTAGATGGAGAATATTATGAAAAGATAAAAGTTTCACTAAAATGCAAAGATAGTATCATGGAACTAAACATTATAAAATAAACATTATAAATGCTATATACACAGTAAAATATGTCAGACTAACCTGTTCTTTTGCATGACTAAACTTCTCGTCATCAATGACTAAACCATTATAAATCGCATATAAACTAGTTACTGAATAATGTCAATTTACGTTACTGAACAATATCAATTTACGTTACTGAATAATACAAATTTACGTTACTGAATAAAATCAATTTACTTTAGATTATTAAAATATATTGAATATATTGATATTTTACTTTTATCACAATAAAATTTAATCCAATCGATGCAAACTATTGATTGTGAAACAGGATAAATTTACTATACTAACGATCTTACCAATTCAGTGTATTAATTCTCTATTCGGAATTCAAGATTCTACTCGGAATTCAAGAATTTCTTTACAAAAATATTATATATGTTATGATTGAGAAGTGAAAAATGTGATAAAATGGATAAATTACTTAAATTACTTAAATTTCAATTCCAAATTACACAATCTACATAAAAAAACTTTGATAACGTTTCAAAAAACGCGAATAATTTAGTGTTTATTTAAGATATATATATATATTTAATGATTATCATTAGATCAAATTTTTAATCTTTAAGACGCGTCACGCACATCAATTTACTTTGTGGCTTAGAAATGATTATGCCCCGATAAGCCATTAGCTACACATGAATAATAATAAAATTAAGTCAAATAAATAAACTGTAAATAAAAAAAAAATAACGAAACATACTAAATTGGTACTGGCTTCGTTACATTTAGTTACACTCGTATAAATTTTATTACGTAAAAGTAATGTTTAATTGGAGTGATAAGTAAGATATTAAAAATTGTTATCAAAAAATCTTTTCACAAATGAATTCATTAAAATGTTATTTGTTATACTTATAAAAATGCTACATATATATATATATATACGTGTGTATGCATATATATTTATGTTTGCTGACAAATTTCTGGTTCTTTGTTCGTGTTTAGTATGCCTAGTATGTGTTGTATGCCTAGTATATATTGCATGCTTGTGTTGTATGCTTAGTATATGTCTGTATGCCTAGTACGTGTCTGTATGCCTAGTACGTGTCTGTATGACTAGTACGTGTCTGTATGCTAGTACGTGTCTAATGTCTAGTATTCTATATAGAATTATGTTTAGTATATAGTTTCTAATCTATATAATCTAATATAATATACTGTATATAATCTAATATAATCTAATATAATCTATATATTGTATATACTGTATATAATCCGTATAATTTACATAGTAGTGGTTTATTTAACAAGTCATTCGTCTATTAGTTACAACTAGTATACATAGAGTTACGGTTAGTTTAGCATAGTAGCTGTAGTAATATACACAGTAATATACAAGGGTAATATATACCAAGTAATACTATTGTAACGAAGTATATCATCGTGAATGAATATTATTTGAATGCGAGTATAATTTTAATGCGAAAAATGAATAAAAGTTAGACGGTTATAAACATCACGGAGATTATAAAGAGATTAAGTTAAATAAGCTTAACTAGTCTAACTATAGCTATATTTTATATATATAACCGATATATTGGATATTTAAAGAGCATATGATATCATTCTTTTGATTACTAAATCAAATGCATTAAATTACGTAAACAATTGATCTTTTTAGCATACTCATTTTGTACACAATATACTGATTTTGTTAATTAATTGGTTTGCCGGCGATACATGTTATACTTAATTGTTAAAGGGGGAACATCCGAAGATTAAACTGCGGTTGATCATTATGTGAATGTGTACTGTTTGGATTTATCTTTTTTGAATAATTTTCATGTAGATCATTAAATCTTTGCTAATGCTTATGTAATATATGATTGTCAAAAATGTTTCACTGTCAAATGAGGGGACTAAGTTTTGTTGCACGTGATATTCATTACTATCGTCACTATCGTCACTAATATTGTGATAACAATAGTAGTACTTACATACATACATACATACTTGATACATACTTGATACATACATACGTACATACGTACACGTACTTAGAATCATATTGACATTACTTGTCATAAGTCTATAATATCTATCATGCAAATATCTATTTTGATATGCTATGCAAATTAATAAAAGATTATTAAAGTTTGACATGCGTAAAAACTTCATAATGTAAGCAAGAAAAGAATATAAAATACTTTTGATTATGTAATAACTTTAATCTTTTCGAGAATTATATAAGATACGATCTTTAATTTTTGTATTCTTTGTATATTTGGTACATCATAAGATCCACTTGACGCTTAAAATGAATGAATTACGTGATATATCTTCCTCATTTTATACCTTCAAAAATATTAATAAATTTTTTTATTTAAAAAAAATTCTAACATTACTTTAAAAAAAAAAAATATCGTGAATGACTTTGATCTACAAGTTAATATAAGAAAAATCTTTGTTTACATAATTAAATATTATCGTGTTAGTTGGCTGAAAAAGATTTGTAATTGCATAAAATTTAATATAATAAAGATAGAAATTAAAGAATAAAAAAAAAAATTAAATTGTTACTTATTGTTACTTACAATCTTATAAGTATCTTTGCATCTTTGCATATTTAATCTTTTTTTTATATATAATAGATTTAATATTCATTCATGACTAATATGTAAAAAATTGTCGTATAAAAAAAGAAAAGTTTCAATAACAATGTCAAATTCTAAATAGTTTCGTGAACTTATATACAGTAGACAAAATGAGTGGCACTTTGTGAAACTGTCTTGCAAATACTAATTTGTGAAACGGTCCTTTTAAGAGGTATCCTTTTAAGAGCAAAGATTGTTTTTAAGTATCTGTTACATGTAGTTACATGTAATTACATGTACGTAGAGAGAATAGATTAAAACTTATTATGATGATTATTTCTTTGAAATATATATATATATTGGAAAATATTGCTAAAAAAAGGATAAATTTCGGGTATGATATCCAGATTGAGAAATCCGGATAAAACGATGATTGGATTTTGAATGTTGTGTTATTGTCGGTCATTTTTACGTTACCATTTTCTAAATGGTAATAATTTACACGAAGTTCTCTTTTTAAATATATATACATATAATATGTTTGATTAAGTCATTAATTATGAGGATTATTAGCATTATTAGGATTATTAGGATTATGTGAATTATGAGTTTAAAAATATAAATAATGTACCAATTCACACAATCTTTAAAATTCGGAAAATATATAGTTAAACGTGATCGTCCTAAAAATAAAAAAATAATTTCTTAAAATATTATAAAATAAATTTATTCGTTTTTTTCTAATACTTAATACTGTAATAAAGTTGTAATAGAATTGTAATAGAGTTGTAATAGAGTTGTTAATGAAGTACTCTAAATTATAATGAATCATATAAACCATATAAACTACTCTGGTCTAATACGTATTATTACGAATGTTTTTATACTTTATTTATAAAAATATATAATAATAAATCATAATGCTATTACAGTTATTATTATTCTATTAATATTTCTATTATAATTCTAATCTTATTTCTTACATTAACATTATTAATATCAAATATATAATATATAGAATCAAAATAGACTGAACGGCCACAAAAAGTTTTTCCGCTTATGCTTATTCAGAATAATATGCGCGTATATAAGACTAGATGATAATATTATGTAATGTAATAAGATGAAATTTCTTGAGTAACATTGTCGATTACACGAGAAAGAAATTATTCTTAACTAACCATCGTGAATATTATTGAGATCCTTGGTAAAAAGACCATATGAGATCCATGGTAAAAAGATCACATGAGATCATTAACAAAAAAAAAATTCTGATGATTCTTACTACCTAATTTTAATAATCCGAGGTCTATATTTAGTTAGAATCCGAGGTCTATCTTTAGTTAGATAATCAAGAAAGTCAGTTAGTCAACCTTGATTAACATACGTGTATCGGAAAATTGAAAATTACACTTAACTATTATTATCTTAAAAACAAATGAACAAATCATGTAATTGTTAGTCAGCAAGCACTGAGTTCGAAAAACTAGAACTCCAACTCGAATAAATCAATGAAAATGGCAAGAAAAAAATTCCATAATTTTATGTAAAATTTTTAAAAGATTTCCAAGTTATCATCCCCATTTGATATTTAAACTTTGTTATATATACACTATTTTATACAAGTATACGTTCTGCTTGTATGCTTATAGGTTGCTATAAATTTAAAAAATAACAGTGATTATAGTGATTACTTTCTATTATTATTATTATTATTATTATTATTATTATTTTATCATTTTATCATTTTATTATTATTATTGTTTATTTTCTTATACGTAGATAATTTTTTAAAAAACTCGATATTTAAAAAAAAAAAAAAATTGTAATATTTATTTATTCATTTATAAGAAGCTAGACTAGTAAAAACCTATTATATAATCAATTATATAAGTTGAATTAAAATGAAGGTCCAATTAACACGAAAGGAGTTGTATATCTCATTCTGTAGTACAAGGTCTCCACGAATTTTAAGAGACCTATTTAATATATATGTATGTTTTTATAAAAAAAATTGATGTGATCATCTTTTAAGGAAAGATCTCGTGCATATTTTTTTTATCAAACCTCGGAGATGCAAATACTTTTAAAGGAATGCTCGCCGGTTGTAAAGTTATGCAGGGAATTAATATGATGATCGTGAATAGTTTTAAGTTATGATGGTAATCACGTAGCACTACTGAAACTATAATTATTTTGAATAACAGATAAAAAGATTAACTTATGTTCGAATAATCATTAATTGGATCGCTTTCTACAGATATCTCTCGGATATCTCTCGGATATTCTCTACGGATATTCTCTACGGATATTCTCTACGGATATTCTCTACGGATGTCAATGAAACGTGAGCTGCTTTTTTTACAAGCATTAATTCTCATTCCTGTAAAACTTATATCTATAATAAAATTTGTGATATCAAGTAAATTAAATTCTCTAAAGATTAATTAATCACAGAATCAGCATATTATTGATTCATCTATATTAATTAAACGAGTTTTACGGTAATTTTTATTATCTAATTAATTCTTATTAATTTCATTATTTCACATTAAATAATCCATTAATCCGATTGTAAAATGAAACAAAAAATAGTAATAGTGTAATTTATATCTAACTTTAATATACTATATTTACGCGAAATAACTTTCATGCGAGGTATTACAGTCTAAAGAGAACTAATAATTAATTTACTGAATTGGATCATACCATAACTTCCCGGAATATCGGGCATGAGCGTTCAGCTCGAATTAAGCTTCATTCTGGCCAAAATTCGAAATAACGCTCATGCCCGATATTTCGGAAATTTATGGTAAATCTTTGATGAAATTAATCATCAACTCTTTAAATTGCGTGTCTCGGAATAACATAAATACGGGTATGGATGAACATAAAGTGAAATAAGTAATGTTTTTAATTCGAAACTTTAATCATATTACTAATTACTAATCACAAATCATACCAATAATATATATGAATGATGCCAAGGGATAACTGGACTTCGATCAATATGATCAAAACTCTTGGCGTCACCCATATGCTTTGATTCATGTTCACCCACATGTTATAATCGCGAATAATAGTTCTTTTGAATCAATTTGTAATTATTGTTATTACATGCGTGTTAGATTATGCGTATTATATTGTATTTGATTACTTTTATTATCTTATCACCAATATGTATTATTTCATTACTATTATTATTTTACTATTATTATTTTGCTACTATTATTATTTTGCTATTATTATTTTGTTACTATTATTATTATTATTATTATCACCATGTTACGACAATAATTATTTTATTTTGTACAATTTATACGTATGATTTATTACATACTTATTAATTTATTTATATCTTACGAAATTTCAATGATGTAAGCTTTTCTTTTATACGTATAAACGCCAACTTTCTGAAATTGGAACAGTGTAAATCAGAATAGAAGAATAATGCATTAACAAATAAGACTATCAATTCTAAAAGAGTCCAAAATGGTTTAACATGGTTTAACATGGTAAATAGTAATGAGAAAAAAAAAAAAAGTACGTACTGTACATAAATATATGTATAAGTACTTATCTGTACTTTATCTGTTATGTATGTCCCTTTTGACCAGAATTACAAAAATATTACAAAAATTAAGAGAACAAAAAAATTATTTTCGAAAATCATTTTTTGTTCATTCAATGTTTCACCACATCATGACATATCAGTATGCTGTATATCATAAAGAATAATTAAAGATCTAAGTTACACCTTCATATGATTAGACGATCTTTTTGTCTATTTCTCAAGGTCGGATGTAACATCCCATTTTTGATTTTTATCATTTGAACTTTTTCGGTTTTATGTAAATATATTTCCTGAATTTTGATCATCTTCAATGGATGACATTTACTGGCCATTTAAATCGATAATGAAATAACTCCCAACTATAAAAAAAAAATAAAAATAAAAAAAATGATGAAACAGATGTGTTATTACATTAATTCATATACGAAGTAACTCATCACTATTTTTACACATTACCGATACTAAATTTTATGACTAATGTTATATATTACTATTATCATTATTTATCGTTATTTGTCTTCATTTAGGAAAAATTCGACCTCTTCAAGAGAAACACGACTCGTCTTAAAAAAAAGTCTTTGTAATATATTCGGCTTTGACCGGATCAATCAATCAATAGTGTAACACTTTATGTATGATTAAAACAATGCAATGCAATGTGAGGCATGATATGATCATTTTATTCTTTTGCAATATTCTTTACAAAAAAAGATTGAATGTTAGAAATAATAGTTTCGAGAAAAAAAACATTTTCTTTGACTCATAAATATAGTTTTAAAACGTCATTTTAAATCACCCTCCTGAATGGTTCAATTCATTTTTGGATGAATGAATACTACGATTTATTTTGGGTAAGTCATTTAATGTTGTCTCTTTTTTTTTTTTCTTTATGTAAGCAAGTAGTATGAATTACATACATGTTTCTGATTGTGTTTCGTGTTAAGGAGAAAGTTTATCCCATTATATAATATATATATTTTTTTTAATTGAAATGATTTACTTTCTTCTCGCATACATAGTATTCACCAAATCGAGTATGTTTCGAATATACATTGTATTGAACGTATATTGAACGTATATTGAACATATATTAGGCATACACTAATGTATATTGAATATATATTAGGCATACACTGTATTGAGCATATATTAACATATATTAGGCATACACTCTCTTGAGCATATATCGAGCATACACTGTACTGAACATATATCGAGCATATACTGTATTGAGCATACACTGTATTGAACATATATCGAGTATATATCGAACATTTATTTGAGAATACATTGTATTTAGCATATATTGAGAATACGCTATATTTAGCATATATTTAGCATATATTAAGAATGCACTATGTTTAGCATATATTGAACTATAACTCTTAAATGGGCTATTAGACACTCCGTGAAAGTCTCGGATTTAAGATTCTTCGGAGAATGGTTTTGCTAAACTTCCGTTGTAGGTTAGTGCATTAATACATAATTGATATGCATTCTTTTAATTTTTTTTAAACAAACGTATATGTAATTATAATTTGTATGATTTGTAATAATCAAATGTCTCTTAGATTAGATTAGAAAAATTAAGGGATTTATGATGGAATACATATAAACATTTACGTAAAATATTATCCAATAATGCATATCTTTCTGTTTCTCGGATTGTATGTAAGTGACTTTTCACTCTTATTGTAACTGTAAAATGGGAAAATTGATTTTAAAAAATTTATTCGTGGAATTTGGAATTTTATTTAATACGTACGTATTATGAACTTTTCTACCTATGTATACGTATATATGATAATACTTCCAAAATAAGGATATTATAGTATATTAAACGCATGATCACAGATCACTGACCAATTTATTATATATAGTATTACTTTTCCGAATATATTCTAAAAAAAAAAAAAAAGACATTATTTGAAAACGTAATATTTGTGAGTATATACCGATACAGTACGTATTTAACAGATCATAACTGAACGCGGTAATAATAATCGCATTTAAAAATTTTCCGATCCTATGGTATTTATCATCGTTTTAACTATATTTGAATTGATGACAAATATGCGAGATCCCTTTTCGTTTATGTCGTAAATTCCCTTTTGATGTATAAAATTTTTTTTGTCATGACAGCATATGAAGTACGTACAACTCATCACTTGTTTTGATATTATAGAAATAAATTTACTATGAAATTTATGAAATATATGAAATAATACAGTGACTATCTTTAACTTACTTTTTTTTTTTTTTTTTTGATATTACATATATAATACACATAGGTTTGAGAAACCATGAATACGGTATTTGACAGGTCAATCTTACTGACTATCTACTGTTATTTATCAGTATGGATATGTTTGAAAAAAATATAATTTCTTGCTTTGTTTTCCATACTATGAATTTATCAATGCAAAAAGTCCAAAAAAGAATTCCAAGATCATATTCGAATATTATGATTATTATGATTATTTGTGATATAAATATATAAATGAATAAATAAACTTATACTGTAAATGAATGAATTTATTTATTTAAAAAAACGTGTTTTTCGGGTGGTCCGTGTTACTTGATCTTTAAAAAACAAGACACTTTTGTCAATTTCCATATTTTATGTTTTGTGTCATTGATGAATCAATCAATCAACCAACCATAAATTTCCATAATCAATGAGTTTTCAAAATACCCTTTTTGAACATATTTATATATATAAAAAAAAAAAAAAAATTAACGTTACAAAAATATCCAAACCACAAATATTGTATACGTATTACGTTATTTATACGCGTCAAATTGACTTGATTAACCATTTGGTTGACACATGCACACAATTCACTCTTTTTAATAAGGTTCTAGAACCCTACGCCACAAACGATCTAGGCAACCTTTGTTATATCCTGATTTGGTATCCTGAATAAAAGTATTTCCGTTTTTGATATAAATAAAGGATGTGATATTTTTGGATGTACATATGTATGTACATATACGTTTTAAAGATTTTTTTTTTTTTGTTTAAAAAAAACGAATCAAATTTCATAACACCATTTTTAGGTCAAGCCAAAAAAAAAACCAAAAAAACAAATAGAACTTTATATCAAAAAAAAGACTTCTCACAACAATTCTTTGATTACAAACCTTTATAGTCCGTTCTAGAACAATAAGTTGCAAAATAAAAAAATAACTTTATTCATCACAATATTGTAGTACATAATCAATTTATTTTTGAACATGGCACTACATTTTTTAATTTCATTTTCAACTAATCATAATTTTGTGTTAATACACCGTTTGAAGATATATATATGACGATCGTTGATGATCTATTTAATAAAAAAAAAGTGGCATTTCTTTCGATCTTCAGTGATTAAAAAACATGTCAAACAAATAGATAAAAAAAAAAAAATAACATGTCACATTAAAACATTATACTGGTATACTACACGGTAATAAATATATAATTGGTTGAACATAATTGAACATGGTTGGAAAATGGTTGAACAAGCTAGATAGCTAGTTGAACAATATTGAACAAGATTGAATATAGTTCAATATTTAAAATAGTTAACCAAGAAACGAAACTTACATGCTATGTAGCATTCTAACAATAGTAATAATGAATAATTTATTAACAAATAAAAAAAAACTTTTTACAAATCACCATTGTGTGAATGCTTATGTGATTGTTACATCTGATGGTGATGTCATAGTTTATATATATGACAGCAATGTATATATGACAGCAATGTATATATGACAGTAATGTAAATACGACAGTAATGTTATCATATTGATATATACCGCATAAATTTATTTATTTTTAAAAATTCGAATTACAGGGGAGAACTCACATTTTTTATTGATTTTCTAATGGATCCATGCCTTCATCATCATCCCAAACTTTTCCACCAGGATTTTCTCCATAATCTAATCCTGCTTCATCTTGAAATTCTCGACCTACAAAATGTTGAAAATATTCCCAAGCAATTGCTTCTGACTGACTTAACGTCGGACAATCACTTTCTGGATCACGTGTGGACGTCGGTGATGGTGGTTCATTATCATCAAAATTTCTCTCTTCCATAATGACATCATTAGCATAATTAAAATGACTATCACAATTATTAATTTCATTATTTATTCTATCGCTTTCGTCATTTTCATTACTATCATCATTTCTTTCACCTGAATCATCTTCAAAAGATTCATAACAAGAATCAGTGAAAAAATCTGTTAATAAATATGATTCTTGACGATAAAGATTAAAGTTGCTATTATCATAATAAGGTGATTCTTGATTATTATTTAATGAAGGATCATTCAATGATAAATTTCGAACTGGTTCAATTAATGTTGAAGAAGGACTTTCGGGAATTGTGGAAGGATAAAGTGTCATTTTTTCAACAGGTTCAACAAGTGATTCCGCTGATTCATTTTCTTCTTCAATTAAAAGATTTTTTTCTGATAATGATGATAAATCATCAATAATAGTAATGTTTTTATTATATTTTTCATCATGAGAAATATCTTTATGTTCTTTATGATTTCGATTTCGATTCATTTGTTGTGCAATTCTTTGATAATTTATTGCGTCAAGATCTGGTGTATCACCTGATATTTCTTGATCTTTCCATAATTCGGATTCTGTTGGTATTAATGAGGGTGCACATATTCCAACTTCAGAGTCCCAATAATAACCTGTGTTACCATCCGCATCCTGATAAAATAAGATACCTTCTCTAATACTCGTCGTATCAATAGCGTCCTTATCCATTACTAATGTGTAACGTATGGTCCTTGAAAATTTTTTTTTAAAATGATCAGAAAAATTTAACAGTAAAATTTAGTTTAAAAAAAAAAAAAAAAGATGAAAAAATTTATCGATATGATAATAGTTGTTTATGTGGGAAAAAAAAAAAAGATTTACAACCTTTTTTTTAATAGGCTGCGGCTTATATTTATGTGAATGAAAATTTTGAAGATCAGGTGATTAATTAATGACGTTATACATACCTGATATATTGGTATATATATCGACATGAATAATATGAATAAATATGAATAATATGAATAAATATGAATAATATGAATATGAATATATCAATATCTGATATAAAATATCTACAATATAGAAAGTATTTAGGAAAATAAAACTTTAAACAAATAATTGAATTATGAATTATGATAAAAGAATTATGATAAAGAAATTACGATAAAAAAAAAAAAAATTATAATAAATAAATAAAGATCTGGTGATTTTAATACGTACGTAGTTATTTCACGAAAAATTTAAAAAATCATCCAATCAAAATTATTAAAATTGACCAAAATATATGAAAATAGACATTTATATCGGATTAAGAAAAATCTGCACGAATCGGGTGATCAATCAACTTTCTACAAATGCTAAGAACCCATAGCGGAAAGTATCATCCCGATTCTTTTCATCAATTATATCTTGAATTTAGATATTTTATTCGAACAATAAATCACCTTAAACTTTTAAGTTGCATTTGATGTGTCGAAATTAGGAAATGAATTTCATAAAATTTACAAAGACAAATTAAATTTTGTACTGAAGAAAAAATGCAGCAAATCACTATTCATTAACTGTAACACTTAAAAAAAATATCCCTTGATTTAATAATAGTAATAATAATAATAACGACAATAATAAATAACAAAAACAATAATAATAATAATAATAATAATAATATATATATATTTATATATATATATCATGATAAATAAACTATACGTATATTGTCGTATGATAGTTATTATATGGTGTCACAAATAACGTTCCATTTTATAATAAGTATTTGAATTATATGTAAGTATTTGAATTAATTAAACATTCCCGAAACTAATAACAAATAAAGAAAATTGCATATACCGATACTACATATGTATTAACAAAATTCTTCTATTACATTAACATTTCAAAGGATACAATTGGATAAAAAAATACTTAACATAAAGGAATAAAAGAAAAAAAAAAATACTCGAGTTATATGTGAGGATCCGGAAAGAACCAAAAAGACAATGATCACATTAGAATCCCTAGTTAGAAAAATAATTTATACGAATCACAAGATGACTAAAAAAAGTATTGGATTTTGATTGTTAAGCAGGTAAAAAGGATCTTCGTGATAATCACAAGGCGAGACCTAGATCGTGTGTCCAGACGATTCGAGATCCTATACATAACATGCACATGTGGCCGTTGGCGTATGAATAAATGCATAGAAAAAACAAATAAATATTTGCATTCAGCCATGTAAGTTATTTGGTGTAATTGATAAACCGTGTGACCAGATTTTTATTGTAATAACCTATTAACTTCCTATTAATTCCTATTAATTCCCTATTAATTTAATATTAAATTTTTTTTTTTTTAATTTTTTTAGTTTTATTTTTTTTTGGAGAATATCAGTTTCTATTTTGCATTGTTATTTTTTTTTATTTTTGAAAATAGTAAAATTAAAGCATCGTGACTCGAATCATATCGTACGTAAGCAATCCCGTAAGCAGGGATAATGCTAGAATTTTGGAAAATCCGTAAATCGTCAATGGCTAAAACAATTCATTCTTGAAACCATCGAGTTAGTTGTGATCATATGAATCTTAAAATTCATTGACTAGATTGACGAGTCCTAAAAGAGAAGCCTTTTTTTTGGTTCACCAAGTTATACGTAATAACAATTATAATAACAATAATTCCCTGTTTACCAAGCGTATTTGCTAAGTTACTCAAAGATTATTCCGTGCGAAGAAAAAAAAATGTGGTAGTAAACAAAACTTGGTTCCAGATTTTTGAGTTATTGTTATTACGAAAGACTCACATTGGTTCAACAAAACAGTTAGAGCTAAGAACGTTTGTTATCAAATGATAATGCATTAGCACGATCCAGACTAGTGATAAGATAAAAATTATTGGGTTATCAGTAATAAAAGAATTTATATTATTTATGTAATTGTTGTCCCTTTGTGTGATCGATTGCTGTCATTTATTCTTTCATAAGACCAACCAAAGGAATTAACCAAGAATGTGCATCTCACATTGACAAATGATGTGGTTTACATAAGCTTCCAATTACTAATAACATAGCAATATCCCCAATTATAAATAAACTATTCAAATGAATGCGTGCATACATTCACATACTTGTCGATTTCCGAAATGTTATTCCATTCCTTCAATAATGTGATGTCTCTTTTAGCAAATGTATTTAATGCGTTCTGCACTTCTATGGTTTTATATGAATAAACGAAAAAGTGTGGTTTCGAATAACTTACCTACTTTACCCGTTCCCTGTTTTCTATATTCGGCTCTTTTCTTTACTATTATTATTTTTAATTCACTTTCATGAATGTGATTTCAAAAAGAATGTTTATATTAACGTTAAGCAAAATGATTAAGAGTGATGAATATACTGTAAATGAATATAATAAAATGAATATAATAAATGACATAATGAATAACATGAATGCAAAAATCACAGATCGAGCCAGATCCGCTATTCATGCTTCGACAATCATCCTATATTATTATGTATAGGTAGTATTTAAAAGAAAAATACCCTAAGCCATATTTTAATGACATCAACGAATTGATGATCAAAAAAAGATTATTAGTTGATGATTACCGAAGATTTATCCAGTGAACTTGGAATTCAAATTTTTTTTGTGTCGCATCGCTGTGTAAAAAAAAAAAAAAAAAAAAAAAAAAGTGTGAAATCACTTTATATAATATGTAGTATATAATTATGTAGAATCGGTAAATAAATATCTCCGGGTTACATATATATATATATATATTATGTATGAAGATCATAGTGATGATAGAAAATTGTTCTGGGCTTTCGAATAGCCAAAATAAATAAAAATAAATAAATAAATAAATTTAAACAATTAATTATATTATGTAATATTGTAAATTTTTTAGGTCAGCTTTTTATATTTGGTTTATAAATAATTTAAAAATAATTTACTAGCTTGAGTCGTTTCTATAAATATATAAGGTCCTGACGGGAAAATGAAGAAAAAAATTTTTATTTAAAACATTTTTTCTCGCAAAAAAGATAATCTACAGTGTATTATATATATATATATATATTATATATAAAGCAAAAAAAAAAAAAAAAGAGCGATTTCAAAATAATCGAATCTGTTTTTTAATAATAATAATAATAATAATATTAATATTTTAATAATAGACCTTTTTTTTTCTCATTTATTTCAAGATATTTTTCAAACTAAAAAACTTACCATTGTCCACATTATTTTACCACGTTTCTTTTAAATAATAATCGATCTGGAAATTCTTTTTTTTCTATATCAATTCTTTCAAACTAGATATGAATATCGTGGCCTTGTTAAATTCCGTTGATGACGAGCAATATTCATCACCTTTATTCACTACCGCTGAACATGATTATGACCCAGAAGTAGATGCTTACATGATTCTTAGACTGCTTAGTTGTCCGTCATGTGGTTATCTCCTTAGTGACCCTGTTACTCTTCCTTGTGGAAATACATTTTGTAGTAGATGCCTTTCAATATCTTCAAATAAGAGGTTTGAATGTCCTATAACAGGATGTAATCGTCTTCATGGAATTGATACAAGAACTGATGTAACTGTATCAAAATTAACCGAAATATGTCGTAGAGAATTATCTAATCTCATTCCACATGTTTCTCAACCACATGTTTCCCAACCACGACGACAATTACAATATCGATTCAATAATCTATATGATATTGTCGACGATGATGATTTCTCTTGTGAAAATAATGGGTTTTCTCCCTTAGAAAGTAATATTGTCGAAGACTACACTAATGATAGCTACACTAGTGATGGCTACACTAGTAACGATGAGCATATGAGTGAATATTCAGTTGATGATGATGACAACGATGATGATGATGATGATTTATCTAATTCTTTCAACTTGACTCATCTTAAGGAACTTTTATTGAAGGAATTAGAATGTCAAGTTTGTTATCAACTTTTTATGGATCCGATAACTACTCCCTGTGGTCATACTTACTGCAAGTCTTGCTTGACTCGATCATTAGATCATAGCGATAAATGTCCGTTATGTCGATATCAACTTCATAACTATAATTCTGTTCTAAACCAACCAATTAATAAGACCGTTAATATTTTTATATCTCAATTATTTTCTGATTTACTCGCTGATCGTAGACAATCAGCTCGTAATGAACTTTATGATGACACTCAAGATACTCCTATATTTGTTACTTCACTAGTATTTCCAAAAATGCCTTGCTTCCTTCATATATTCGAACCAAAATATAGGTTAATGATTAGAAGATGCTTAGAATCTCGTCAAAGACAATTTGGGATGGTTCTAAAACGTGGTGATAGTTATGTAGAATATGGAACTATGCTGGAAATTCGTTCCACTGAATTTTTAAATGACGGCCGCTCATTAGTAGAAACCATTGGTACTTTTAGATTTAGAGTAATTGAACGAGGTATGAGGGATGGTTATGATGTTGGAAAAATTGAACGAATAGATGACATCACTCCTGAAGAAGAGTTGACTAGAGAAAGAGCTGCTGTAAGAGCCGCTGAGATTAATAATAGAGATCCTTCTAATCCTGTAATGTATGAACCTACGATCTCTGAACTTATTAACAGAGCTCGTGAGTTTATTGAATCTTTGAGAAACGGATATGCTCCATGGTTATTACAACGTCTAAACTCGACATATGGTGATATGCCAAATGATCCTTCCGATTTTTCTTTTTGGGTCGCTTCGGTAATTCCCATCGATGAAACTGAAAAATATAAATTGTTAGAAGAAAGATCCGTTAGAGAAAGAATGAAGTTGATTGTTAATTGGATCGACCAATTAAGGGAACAATGGTGGTTTGATAGGGGTTGTATAATTTCGTAATAAAACATGTATTATATCAATCATGTTTATACTTCGAGAATCGTTTTTTATTCTATCGACATTTTCGTAATTTCAACGCGCTTTTTCAATTTTCTTTTGTCGATAATTTTTATCTTTATCTTAGTGACTTTGTCACATCCGTAATTCGACGCGCGTCGTCTTGCACCAACGAAGTGCAAATTCGAAAGGCTAATTTCTTACAACACTTTTAATCCTTTGTACAAAGTTTTCTCTTGTAATATTTTTTTTTTTTTTTGGTTTCTTTTTCTTTTTTTGTATAGTTGCAAACAATGAGTTTGCTTTTTCTTTTTTTTTTTTTTTTCTCTAAGACATTCATGTAAAAAAAAACATTAGATTTTATTATTTTTTTTTCTCATGGCAAATCTGAATTCTTCCTTAAAATCTCATCAAAAAAGGGCAAATAATCTCAACATTTCAATATACTTCACCTATAAATACTTCGTTTCTACATGTTATAGCATAAAAACAATAATGTTAATAAAAATTCACTCAACAATCTACGTTATAAGTCATTGTAAAAATAGGTATATTCATATTCATCAATAATAATTAACAAGTTTCTTTATGCTTTCTATATATTAATGTTAATAAATAAGTCTGTAAAAAAAATACGTTATGCATTATTAAAAACTAATAATATATTAAATCATTATAATAAGTGCAGTGCCAAATATTACGTAATGTCCTTGAATTCATACCGATATTGATATTTGATATACTATTATCATCAAAATGTTATTTTTTATAAGCAAATCGAACTTGTTGTACGTAGTAAGTTGATCAGAATAAAGTTTTTATAAATTTTAGATAAAATTTTATTCAGTCGTTCTTAGCATTTTAAATCTTACAATAACGCATTTGTATTATAAATATATTCGGTTTAAAATACATTATTCTCTGTGTTAAAAGTAAATAAAATTGGAAAAATTCAAAAAAAAATTTGTGCAATTTAATTAAAAAGTCTAATAAAAAATTGTAACTTTTTATTTTAAAAATTGATATAAAATATTATAAAAATTTGTATTTTAAATTAGTTTAAAAAATCAATGTTATATATACTGTATAGAAATGAAACCCGCGTTGTAAATTAGTAAAACCCGCTACAGTGTTGGCAATTTCTTGCAATTTGGTCGGCCAAAATTAACCAATCATATTGCTAGCTTTTCTATACGAATATTTGGCCAAATAAGTTTTTTGCCTAATTCAACCAATGGTTGTGGCCACTCGACGGCCAAGTGTCAGAACTGCACTAGGGTGAAATCCGCGTTTAGCTGTTATTATTATCATTATGCAAAAGTGTTATATGTTCTGTGTAGCGGATTTTACTAATTCACAGCACGGGTTTTAACATATGGGAGTAAGTCAACAGAATCCAGGCAAATTGTTTTTATTAAAATTTTTCTTAAACTTAAAACTTAAATATCTTACCCAAAACTTAATCAATTTTGATAATTTAGTATTTATTTTAATTCTACAAACTTGTAGCATTAAAATAAATACCAAATTGTCAAAATTGATTAAGTTTTGGGTAAAATATTTAAGTTTAAAGTTTGAGAAAAATTTCAATAAAAACAATTTGCTTGGATTCTGTTGACTTACCCCTATATTGTAATTTGAGTTAAATTAAATTTGCATATAGTCAACTTGTTTAGTACAACATTATCCTCATCTCAACACACAAATCCTATTATGTTCTCAAAAGAAAGCATTAATATTACAATTATCTATCATCTTAACTACTTAAAATAATTTACTATATTAAATATTCTTATTAAGTGTTATTAATACATGTTTATTACACAAAATCTCTTTCCGACGATCATCTGGACCAAACCTTCCAAAATGCCGAACTACAGAAAAATGATATAGTTAATATATTAAACTTTATGAAAACTTTTCTGGAGCACTGGGC